GTGTTTAGAGTTAATTTGTTGATTCAGATGATTAGATTAATGTCGTTTAGAGAAACTTTTCATGATTTTTTGAGATAGGGATTTTTGGTTTTTCTTTATTTTTTGCCAAAATCATCAATATTAAAACAATAAAAGGCTTGAACTACTTCAGTTGGTGTGCAATGAATCTAAAATATTTGAAAGTTTAATGTTTATCAGTACATTACAGAAAATAACGAACTTTATCACAATATGCTAATTTTTTGAGAAGGACCTGTACAAAGTTGCAGATTACAACACAAGTTTAACAAAATACCTTGTACAGCTAGTGAATCGACCAGGCTGCTGCAGATGTCTCAAAGTCTCACAGCCTCTTATACTCACATCTAAACCTTGGGATACAACAACAACAACAACAACAACAACAACAAAAATTCCTTTGTGTCATGATCAATTCAATTCAATTCAATTCAATTTTCACCTCAGCTTTATTGTCATTCAGGATTGTACAGTTTCCCATACAAAAATGAACAAAATTTGTTTCATTTCTCCCCAACAATAAGGTGATGAATGGATAGAAATGCATCTGAAGCATAACATAAAATATATATATATAATTACAATTTACAACCAAACAATATTTTAACTGCTGGAACCAAATATACTTATTTTTAAATGCATAAGTCATTTTAGTGACAGAATATGGGCGTATAAAGTGGAAATGGAAGTAGTCAGATGGAGGATGACTCGATGTGGAGACCCCTTTAGTATAATTAAATACTCACCCAAGTTTGTTCAGTCCACAGAGAGCTTTTACTGATTCAATTAGTGAACTTTTTTATCTGGAAGTTTCTAATGATTGATCAAAACAATCAAATATGTCAAAGATTCATAATAAACATCTGACAAAAACAAACTAAAATGACCCCATCTGCCAAAAGGATCAGTTATTTATTCCACTTTGACATTTGTTCAGATAGTAAAGTTAGTCTCTCTTATCATCTGATTGATCGCTGATTCTTTTTTTCTGCCTTCAGTCTGCAGATCTGATGCAAGCAACAAACTGCAGATGACACAGTTTTAGGCCTGACCTGTTACAAACTGAGATTGTGTGGAAGTTCCTAAAACAAACAAAATCACATAAATGAAGGYGTTCATTTAACAAAGTAGAAAAACTGGACAAACCTGCTTGAAACACCTCATAGATGTTTTTATTGTCTGAATCTTTATGTGTTGCAGAATGCTAAAAGCTCAGTTCTCATGGCTTTTATTAAAACGAGTTACCGTTCTGAACGCATAAAAGTAAGCACTTTGAGAAATGACTTATTGTTATGCCCCAGTGTTCAGTCTGAGTTAATCAGGTTATTAATGAGAAACAAAGTGAGTGAAACTCTGAAAGCCGCAGATCAGAATATAGATTAATCTGCAACTCAAAGTTTTCCACTGACCTCAACTTCTACAGACGTTTTGTGGTGCGTTTGGCACTTTAGGGTCTCAGAAATCTGCATAACTGTTGATTATCTGATGCACAAATACACGTTATTAGAGCGCAAAGTATACCAAAACAGATTCTCTGTGCCATGACAGTCGTAGCGTCATGGCACAAGGGATTTTCGACCTTGTTTGCATCATTATTTTGACACTTTACTGAGTAATAAAATAACAGAGGCTTAATAGTTTGAGGGTAAAGGAAAATGTGTAAAAATCAAGTAATAACTAAAYTTATAATTAAGTAACTGCTCTGCAGTAATGCTAAGGACAGCGACTCCCAGGTGCCAAAGGGGGGCTGAGTATTTTACTGAGGGTGCTTCGAAGGATCTATTGTTACAGTTCTCAAACAGAGAYGCTCTCAGAACTCTGACATCTACAGTCACCAGTAAAGTGGATAGTGAATATGTGGTATTCTGCTATTCTTTTAAAGAATATAGAAACATGACATATTTATGTATAGAGTAAGGTTAGAGTCTTTTGATACCACTAGACTGAGGGCCCCCCCCCCCCCTCTTTTAACATGTTAGACCAGAGATTCTTAAACCATGGGCCACGGCCCAATTGTGGGCCACGAACACCACCTTGAGGGCCTCAAAAGAACAACAGTTTTTAACTTTCGGCCGCAGAGGGCCGCGGGACCGCACTGATTTTGAATAATGTGTAATACACTTTGTCACCACTAGTAGCAGTAGTGCACCGGTCAGTTGTTTAACAACTTTTTTAATATGTAGAAGAAGAACCTTAGAAACCTGCCGAAAATGGATATGTGTTTTAAATTAAAAGTAGAAGCAAAAATGAAGGCAACCCATCAAAAAACACTTTTTTTGTCACTAATATGAAGTGCAGCTTCTGTTTTTACCATGCAATATTTTAAAAGTTCAAAACATTATCAAATACAGTTGCAGATACAATTACATTTTAATTTGCACTTTAAATTATCTTTTGTAGTTTATTTTTAAACATTTTGAATTTATTTTAAAGAAAATTTAAACTTGTCAAAAAGCTGTTG